TACGTTTTTTAAAATATATTATTAAAAGAAAAAATTAAATAAAACCGATGCGGTAAAAAAAAAATCCAACCCAGGACCCGCTGCACTAATCGATGGAGCATTCGAGTCTTCAAATGATGAGCTATCCTTATCCTTTCTTAGTTTAACATTCAATTAAAAATGTATTAATTTTTTTCAGAAAAGTTCATCAATGAGAATGGCGGCGATGAAGCGGAATATATAGCTGCATTGATGTCGTTTTTCCAATTTGCCAATAACCGCATGTAATTGAAAGCACGCAACAAAATGTAATAATTAACTTTTTATGCTTAATTTTTGTATGCTATCGTGAATTTGTATGCTAAAATGTCTATTCCCTATTTATATTTTCGCGACTGTAGATGAATCCGCCGAAAATTCGCATTTCTTTCAGTTTCTAGATGTTAAGCAATCTATGTATGAGTTTTTAACCCTAGAATACAAACCTTATTTTTTATTCTTTTAATACTAACGTTCGCCTGTGAGACTACTTTGAAATAAAGTACAAACTTTGTCTTTTTAAAAACTTAAATTTAATTCAAAAATGGGCTTAAATATATTTCATATGTTTCTAAAGTAAAAAATTAGATAATTTAATATTTTTTTATTATTAATAAAAATAATTCGTATTGAAAAATAAAACATATTTTATAATCTTTTTGAAAGGGGTCATTTGAAAAAATAAAATAAAAATATTTTAAAGCGAACGAACTCAAACAATCAATCTATTATCTTAAAGGTATTCGTATTTATTTTCACACTTAAAAGAAATCAATTGTTTATCTTTTCTATTGTGACTTGTACCTACAAATGAAATCGACTTTTTTTGTATTACATTGGGCCCTACCAATAAAGACTAAGCGATTGATTTTTCTTAAAATTTTAGACCTTTTACGTAAATTTAATTGAAAAAATCAAGCAGAATGTTTCAAATCTGAAGAAAAAGCAACTGCTTAGTTTTTTTATTCATAAGGCCCATTCACTGAAATCTTCTTCCCAATTGTCCTCACCATTCAACNGATTGGGCCCTACCAATAAAGACTAAGCGATTGATTTTTCTTAAAATTTTAGACCTTTTACGTAAATTTAATTGAAAAAATCAAGCAGAATGTTTGAAATCTTAAGAAAAAGCAACTGCTTAGTTTTTTTATTCATAAGGCCCATTCACTGAAATCTTCTTCCCAATTGTCCTCACCATTCAACGATATTTCTTCCAACCATTTTAGAACTTGTTCTTCATAGGTACTCCTTTCGAAAATTAAAAAACCCATTTAGTTCAAAACAGAAAATAGCCAACAAACATATTAAAAGCTGAAATAAGTACAACAAACAAAATTATCTTTACTACTAACGTTCGCCTGTCAGGCGTCAAAAGGGCGTGGAACTCAGCCGCGCAAGGCCACTGTACAATATGCGCTGAAAGAAGAAATGAAAGAAGAATTCGAAACAAGATTAAATATAACTTTTGTTTTCAATTATCCTTCTGGAACATGTCAAAAATGTCCTTTAAAAATATTATCCTTCAAGATTTTTAATTTTCAATGAGTTTTGAATAATCTTAGTTTAATTTAAATCGTATTAATATATACAGTGACGAGCAAAACTGTAACATGGTGTAACGCTTTTTATTTCAGCCATCACTATATTTCCAAGTTCTAAAGACTTTCATCATTTTGTTGTATATTCTTGTTGGTACATCCCTACTCCGTCTCTCATAACGATTTGAAGTCAATACAACAACAATAATAAAACCAGCAGACAAAAATGTAAATTAAGGCAGATGTTACAGTTTTGCACTCACTCTCAGTTTTGCATTTGACAGTTATCTCTTACTTAGTTGGAAGTAGATGACTTTTTTCTGTATTGTAATTTATTGAAGAAGTGATCACCAGTAAATAACATAGTTAATCAGGAACCATAAATGTAAATAATAGATTTACTACGGAAAGGCGGGACCGCGCGAAAAGTGGCAAAAAATTGTGGAATTTGCTACTTGAAAATGTTAAGACTGATAAAAAATATAGCCTAAAGTGTTTCCAAGGACAAAGAAAGTCTGTCAAAAAATATTACGGTACGATATCTTGTGAACTTAGCAGCAAGTAGCGCTGCAACCACTATTACAGAAGCGTTTAAGGTATTAATATTTAATGCTAATCAGTAGACAGCGATGCGAAGAATTGCCAAATTGAGCGCAAAGGCATCATGAAGAAGAAAAAAGCAAATTTGATCAAAATCCATGTGCGAGTGTGGCAGCATTTTGCTGCATCGCACGAAAACCGAACCGTTGCCTATTGGGATATGTTAGGCCGTTCAGAATGCAATAAAAAACACATTTTTAAGTTTCAATTGAAGGTTATTTGGTCTGACAAGACTAAATTAATAATTTTCAATCATATGGCCGGGCATGGTATGGGGTCAAAGACCCAAATTAAGCCCATGCGCATCATGTAAGACAAACTGTGAATCACTGTGGTCGGTCAATAATGGTTTGGGGTTGTATTTAAAAAATTTTGTTTGTCCTTTAGTACGCATTATGCGTAAGCAACAGTATCTGTTCATATTTAAACAAAATTAGCAAGATGTAGTCGAAAAAATTTGAGTTTCTGCTGAAAAATCACTCAAAACACACTGCACATGTTCGCAAAGCCTGGATACAAAAGCAAAAATTTGCTAATTTGAAATGACCTCCACAA